TGCTATTTATACTAAAATTGGAATGATACAGAAAAAATTAACATGACCCTTGTGTAAGGATGACACACATATTTGTAAAGCACTCCATATTTTATTGTTTGTTTATTTATTTAGATATTAGGGACTGAATCCAGGGGCACTTAACCACCAAGCCATATCCCCACCCTTTTTAAATTTTTTTATTTTGAGACAAGATCTCACTAGGTGGCCTAATGCCTCAGTAAGTTGCTGAGGCTGGCTTTGAACTTGTGATCCTCCTGCTTCGGCCTCCTAGCCACTGGGATTACAGGAGTATGCCACCACACCTGGCACATTCCATATTTAAAAGAACAAAACCAAAAAAACCCTTGCCTTGGCTACCTTGTAAGGACAGAACCAACAGGATTTGGATGTGTAGAGTAAGAAAAAATGAGGTCTTAAAGAGGACCCCACGGGCTGGGGATGTGGCTCAAGCGGTAGCGCGCTCGCCTGGCATGCGTGCGGCCCGGGTTCGATCCTCAGCACCACATACCAACAAAGATGTTGTGTCTGCCGAGAACTAAAAAAAAAAATATTTTAAATTTTCTCTCTCTCTCTCTCTCTCTCTCTCTCTCTCTCTCTCCCTCTCCTCTCTCACTCTCTCTTTAAAAAAAATAAAAATAAAGAGGACCCCACAATTTAGGCCTGAGCAACTGGAAGAATGCTGGAGGGAGATAAATCTAGAATTGAGTATTGGGTATTCTGAGTTTAAGTTGCTTACTAATATCCAGGGAAAATGTCAAGTAGGAAGTTGAATACATGGGTTTTGGAGTTCAAGGGAAGTTCAAGTGGAGTTCTTAGCTGGAAATAATCCACCTATAGGGCAATTCTGCAAGCCCTAATAATCACAGGATATGACAGTCACTGAGGGCTCTGTTGAAGAAGTTTTAAGATGAATAAATGAATTTGTAGGCAGGGTCAGGGATTTGGTGCTGACCTCTGATTTCCTCTGCTAGCCCCGCTCTGTCTACTGAGCCTACTATTGCCACCCCTCAGTCCGGCAGCCCCCATCTCCCCAGCTGAGCCCATCAGTCAAGCCTATAGCCTGGCCCTCTACATGCAGAAGAATACATCAACACTGCTGCAGACCTACGTGAGTGACAAGGGGCACAAGCAGGGGACGAGGGGAGAGGGGGATACTACCCACTACCCTGGGTAGGGGAAGCAGAGCAAGCTCAGGAGTATTCTCTTCAGTGGGTCCAAGGGCACAGGGGCCCTGTTAACTAGAGACATGCTCAAGCGTTGTCACAGATGGCTGGGTGATCTTGAGCAAGTGATCCTTCCTCTCTTGGTCTCAGCTTCCTCATCTGCAAAATGGGATGGTAATACCACCTTTGGTGACCTTTCAGGATTGTTACACAGTCAAAGGAAGCACTTAGAAGGAAGGATTTACATAATCAGGGTGATTTCCGTAACCACCTCATGCCATGTGCTCACTTGGGCTCTATGCCATCAATTCCTCAAGCCATTCTGACTGTGGAATTAGAATGCATTTTACGGATGAGCAAACTGAGTCCTAGAAGGGATAAATAATTTGCCCAAGGGCACAGAGCTAAAAACTGGTAGTGCCAGGATCCAAAATCAGGTCTATGGAATTCCACACCACAACCCTCCACCCCTTACGCCCACCCCACCATACAGAAACAAAATTGGCAGCCTGCTTGCTGGTTCTGACAATGTGTTGTCAGACAAAAGTGGCTGCCTAAAACACAGGGATCCTGTAGACCAAAACTTCCATCCTCCGTCTTACTCCTGCTTTTTTCCCCCAAATTACATGACATGGCTGGCCCTGGTGAGTCCTGGAGTTTACAATTCTTCCATTGTACTATACTCCAGCCTCTTATGAATTCCACAGTTTAGGTTCTGGTACCATATCTGTCTCTATTCCCTGGACAGTCTTGGGCATTTTGAGACTTCGTTTCTCCATCTATACAATGAAGATGTGGAACTAAGTTATATGTCAATTAGGAGCTCTATCAGTATGCATTAAGATTCTGTGGGTCTTGTTTTGTGGGGGGGGTCAGAACTTTGATGGAGAAAACTCTCAACTACATTAAACAATGTTAACAAATATTTATTAGTGATCATAATAAAATTAACAAACATAAGCAATTAAATACCATAAATAAGAATATTAAACCGTAACTACATTGTCAGTAATATACTTAGATTGAACATATTATTAAAAAATAGTCACAGAGTTCATTAATATCTATATATTATTAGTTAATGATTACTTTTTATTCCTTTATTGTATCTCAGGTGCTGTTTATATATCTATATCTATATATGTATGCATATACATATATAAATTTTCCATCATCTTCACATAACATTGTTACATGGGAGTTACAGAAGCTTGTGATTTGATGTCATATAGATAGTACATGGAAGATGACCAATTGGAACCTAAAAAGGCTCTCGATCTGTATTAGGACATCCTACCAGCTCCCTGAAGGGTGGTGAATGGTGGATTCTCCTGGGAAGATGCCAGTCTCAGTGTGCAGATGTGGAGTCAGCACCATACATCCCTTTGGTCCCCTTACCTCTGTCTCTCTCTGTCCTGCATACAGCTCCAGCACCAGGGCAGCCCCTTTAGTGACCCTGGCTTCTCAGCCCCTGAGCTGCAGCTCAGCAGCCTGCCTCCTGCTGCTGTCCCCTTCAAGACCTGGCATGCCCTGGATGATGGGGAGAGACTGAACCGTGCCCAGGGAGCCTTCCTGGCCTTGACCCAGCACCTGCAGCTCGTGGGAGACGACCAGAGTGACCTAAATCCTGGCAGTCCCATCCTCCTGGCCCAACTTGGAGCTGCAAGACTCAGGGCCCAAGGCCTGTTGGGCAATATGGCTGCCATCATGACTGCCCTGGGGCTGCCTATTCCCCCAGAAGAGGACACTCTGGGGCTTGTTACCTTTGGGGCCTCAGCCTTCGAGAGAAAATGTCGAGGGTATGTAGTGACCCGGGAATATGGCCACTGGACAGATCGAGTTGTGAGGGACTTGGCTCTACTCAAAGCCAAATACCCAGCATAGAGGAGTGGGGCTTCCTGTCAGAGGCTACAACACTTCCTCTTTCACAGTGGACTCTTTTTTGCCTTGCTTTTGGGATAGAGAAGGAGCTACAACTTCTCTAGAGACCAGGGTTTGTGTGCCATGTTTTGGAGAATATTATCTGGACACCAGGCCTCCATTCTTTATTGCCTATGACCTCCCTTCCAGAACTAGTTGGGTCTCCATGGGTCCTATTTCATGGATTCCAATCCAGTGGTACTTGTTTTCCTACTTCTTAGTTGGAAAGAAGAGTCCCTTGAAGAGGCTTCACCTCCTACTCTAGGGAGAGGACAGTTGGTCTCCTTCCTGGGCTCTCCTTGAGACTTTCTCCTTTCTATAATTGGAGGAAGTTCAGGGGTTGTCTTCCTGTCTCTGTCTACCTCCATTTCTGTGTGACAATATGACCTTTCTGAGCAGATAGCTCTCCCTTCTTGCTGGAGTTCATTTCCTCTCCTGATTTGCCTGTCTGGGCCATTGTTCCACTTTATCTCCAAATGGGGTTTCACTTCCTGATCAATGGAAGTAGAATTCTGGAAAAACTAAGGACTCATGTCACATCACATCTGTTTCCTGCTCAGGGCACTTTCACTTCCTGTTTTGGGCAGACAGGTGGTATCCCTGTCCTGGGGTTTTGGTGAATCTCCTATGCAGACTGTGCCTTTGGGGTATGTGTGGGGGATCAGTTTGTACCCCAAGGACCCTATTCTTCTCAAAGTTGTCTCTCCATTTTCAAAGTTGTCTCTTCATTTACTGTATATACAGGTAACTTTAGTTTTATTTTTTAACATTTTATTTACAAAAAAATTAATTTATTCTCAAATAAAACTCTTTTAAGGCATTATGTGTGTTTTTTTTTTTTTCCCCTCTCCACAGACCTGGTTTGAGAGGTGAGGGTTGTACTATCCCTGCACAGGGCAGGGCAAAGTGAAGGGAGAAGAGGAAGGGCCCAAAGGGATGGGGTGGGGACAATGAGGGCAGCAGTTGGGATGACCCTGGGGGAGGGTATCTAAAATTCGTTTGCAGTAGCCTACCCACCACAGGACCAACAGGCACATTCCTGGCCAAGAAAGGACAAAACTGAGGGAGAGAGACATGGTGTGGCCTCCTTGAGATGAGGCTGAGATGTACACATGCTCACGTGGGGCCACAGGGAGAGGAGAAGGGAAAACAGACCCAGAGATCCCCAGAGATGGGTAAAGGGGAGACCTAAAGAGACTGAGGCAGGCCCAAGGATGGAGAAAAAGAGAGGGGAAGCGAGAAAATGAGGGACACAGGAAAGTTCCTTGGGCAGACAAGGAGGTCCAGAAAGAGAAGAGGTACAGAGTCAGAGCAAGGGGACAGTTCGCAGAGACACTGACAGACACGGGAAGAGACAGAAGTGAAGACAAACATGGAGAAGGAACCTGATGGAGAAGAGGCGACAGCGCGAAGTCGCCCCCCCACCCCCGTGAGCGCGCTCACGCGGGCCCCTCGGGCACCAGCTGGCTCAGGTCGCCCTCGGTGCGGCTCACCCACTCGCTGTAGAGGCCGCACACGCGGAGCCCCAGCACCTTGGC